AATGGGTCCAAATTTCTCATCTTTAGCCTAAAATGAGTAAAATGGTCCAGAATTTTCATTATAGGCCTATTTGTGTAAAATGGGTCGACTCTTAAGAAAATGGGTCCACATTATTTGAATTTACGCGTAAAGTGGGTCCACCCTGATATTGTCCCGCACTGTCTGAAAATCTTGGCTACTGCATTGTTCATCACAACAAAGTCATAGTGTATAGTTATAATAGGCCTATGGAGGTTTGCATAACGCTTATGTTTTGTTAATCCTGTCAATTAACATAACCAACCCAATATTTTTGCCGATGTTAGGAGGGGAACTTTCTGGGGTGTTCTAGTGCCTATTATATTTATTTGGGGGTGGGGGGTCAGACCAGAGGGCTATGTATTTCAATATATTATCTCAATGATTTCACGCGTGGTTAAAGATTATTTGGCTTCAGCCATGAAGGAGAGTCACCTTTCGCTAACACCAGATTCGTCACTGAAGCAAATAATATTATGATCATTGAATTAAATTTTTTAAATTTGACAGAATGTAATAACTACATTGAAATCTTTTACATCTGTTTTCAGAGAGGAGTTGTTGAGCTTCGTTGCACTTCCAGGCATATCCCATTCATATATCGTCCTTGGATATATAGATGTGTCTAAAGACAGACGATTGCTTGGAAAGGTGTTTTCTTTCCTGCCAGATGGAACCTTTAAATTAATCAGTAACATCATTGAGACACTGGAATCTGAGGGACCTGTTGAAGTTTTAAAATTTGGTGTGTTAGTAGCCTAGGAAACATAACATTTACGCAATGATGACATAAAACAAATTTCTAGTAACAAACAATAGCCAAAATAGATATTTAATACAGTTAATAATGTTTTCTTTCCAATTTTTTGCACCAATTTAATGGAAGTGCCAAATTTTCCGTGAACAGACTCCACACTAATCTTTTTTAAAATATGATGCTGATAACGATAGAATATTTGAGTAAACTTTAGACCTAGGCCAGCTTCTGCTGTTGCTGGTGCGGTGGTAGTGGTGGGGGTGATGATGATGGTGATGACACTGAGAATATTGGTTGTACTGGTGGTGTATCTAGAAACATTGAAATGGGTTAGGTGATAGGAGACGAGAATGTTAAGTGGCGGGAACCGATGATTAGGTGAGGTACTCTAGCTGGCAAAATAGGATGATATGTGGTGATTTTCCGACTACTTGACCATACTGTATTTTGCTCAGTAAATTTCCCACGGTGTGGGGACCTGGAGCCAAGCTAATTTTTTAAAAAGGCGTGCGCCGTTAGCTTAACATACCATTCTGTAGATAACGTCACTGCTAAGGTTGGTATAATTTCGAATAGAAAGTTTTTATATTATAAATATATTGAACAAGTTTAATGGAAGTGCATAAGCCTCACACTCATTCTTTTAAAATTATGATGCAGATAACGAGGATATATGAGTAAAGGCCTATCAGCTCATAATGATGAACATATATAATGATGAAGGTGGTGATTACAATGATGGGAATGAGTAGCAAACAATTTTCCTCTTTAATTTATGTCTTTTTATCACTTTTCTGTCATCTATAGATCCTATTAGTGGAAAAAAGCTATCAAATGGACGACTCGTCGTCGGTGGCTGGATAAAACGTGGCAAGTGCAAATTTGAGATGCCTAATAATTTGTAAAATGGTGTTCATAAATTCATACTATGATAAAGTTTCACCATATAAAAACTACAAACAAAGAATTAAAACAATTATTTTGTAATAATCTGTTAAAATATGTTATTTAATACATAAATATACAATACCATAACCACGATGTAGCAAATAAATAAACAAATAAAGCTGAATTATTATTGAAAAGAACAACAAATACCGACACGTACTTAATTTCACAAATTCAATTTAAGCCACTTTGAAAGTTTGTCTAACATAAATACAAACCCCTTGCTACTTATTACGTTGCAATATTATTTGATCAACGGTTTGTTATTAGGCCTACGTGTAAACGTGTTTCTTTAATTCAAAACTGTATTAATTTTATTTTTTATAATAACATAACAGTATATATTTACAATACAGGATATCAGAAGAGGAAACGAATGGATGTATTGAAGTTGAGATTTACTGGTTCTACGTCTTCTAGAGGTAAACTCGAAGATATCGAAAACCAATCATATGGTAAGCAAACACAGTTTATAAATTAAAAGGCTGTTTTATAATTTATTTATACTCATCCAATAATACTAACTTTTACATACATATATAACACACATACAAACGTGCATATATCATACCGTATACATATCCGTATATATAGGCCTATATTATGCCGACATACATATTTTTATTTGAATCACTTTTTTCACACATACACACACCATACACACACATACACCCACACACACACACCCACACACACACCCACACACACACACACACCCACCCACCCCCTAAACACAAACACACGCAGCTTTATACCTACCTGTCCAATAAATACACACACAGACATACATGCATATTTTTTTCAATTTCTATACATTTATTGCTCTTGTGACGTCACTGATACTGTATGATTAGCATTTTGTCTAAATATAAAAACGCTCCTATTGCTTGTTAAAATTAAAAACCACATCCGTAGTCCCATAGAAACAAATGGATGCACCGTGCAGCGCCTACCATGACCCATAGGGGTTCTCATGTGTAGTACATAGGAGAAACCGGCATGTGTATCCCTTACGCTTTTGAATACCGTACTGTGTGTACATCCCCATAATGACTAATTGATTTATAAGTGCATCCATGGACGAAAACGAGAATAGCATTACGAACTCAAATTCAATTACTCGTCCTCTATTAGTCACTATCGGATATTCGGTGAGTAAGTATATTGCCCGCTTTTGGCACCCATTTGTTCCTATTTTGTGGTCAGAATTCTTTTCATAACGTTTAATTACTTTGTTTAATATGATACTTCCCAACGTGTAGCCCGATTCGTGGTCAGAATTTTAAATATTTAACAAATACAGTAGTCATATATGTGTTTTCCCCTTTTTATGTTCTTTAAGAATATGAACCGTTTATCATGTGGACAGATGACGAAATTAATTGGAGTTTAGGAGAAAATTTGAAGATTGAAAGAGCAGTGGAAAATATGCGAATACAGGTAGGCCTATATGCTACCACTACGGTTGCTATTTCACTTATTAAAGACATTTTTAGCACTGTACTAATACGGTATATAGTATTGTGATACTATGAATTACTATCACAACCACTACTACTACTACACTACCAGTAATTCTACAACTGCCAAAACTACGGTAACTCTACAACTACCACTACTGACTATTAGCAAATGTTTTCGTTCCATTGTTCAAGCACTCTAGAAAAAGGTTAGGAACACAAAGTTGGTGGTGGAATGTGACTTTTTTCTTATTAGCTTCATTTTGCATTATACATAATAGGAACAATAAAAACATTACCACAACCAGTGCTTTGTAAAAATAAAATTAAAGTATTGTAATATTTCATAATAATTTTGACAATTTTTATGTCCGATTAGCTGATGAATGACGTTTGATTACATTTTAGGCAACAGAAAGAGGCAATGGAAAAGAAGTGGTTGTGATTATTTCATCTCTAGATTCCAAAACGGTCTTATACGAAGGAGAAAGCAAAGATTATTGCGCAACGTTTACAGAAAAGACTAAAGTACTGGTAAGTCAAAAGTAAATTATTATAAACAAACATTTCACCATTATTTTAACGATAATACCGATGTGTTTCTAATTATATTATTCTATACTGTATATTTCAGGACTGGCACTTTCAAATGCCCGTAATCACTTTTGCCATTATTAATGGTTCGTTAGTCGGTGCTTCATCCATGGAATACATTCAGCAGACTTCAGGACAGCAGGAGGCTGAGAGTTCTGCTAAGAGAGGTGAAGGATCACCTGTAGATGGAAAGAAAGAAAGTTTACCAGAAACAGATGAACCGGCAAACGATGAAACGGGAAAATTAACTTTAGAAAATACATCTGAAGACTCTGTAGAAGTATCGTTTCAAAATGTACCGGAATGGGCTTTGTTTGGCAAAGCAGCTAGAAAGGTCACAAATGCAATATCATTCATTAGAAAGTCATCTAGAAATAAATCAACACAACAGTACGAAAGTGTATCAAAAACAGAAGTATCCTCAGTTAATAATGAAAAATCAATGGAACATGTAATAAAAGAAAGCTCACCAGAAACAAATGAACTGACAGATGATGAAAAAGAGTCTGAAAGTGTTATACTTGAAGAATCTGCATTGATTAAGAAGGAACTAACAGGA